TTGTGTTAGTAAGGCAGGACCTGATCTATAAGACTGGATTGTGTCCTGAGGCAATCTCTTGAGATATAAAAGACAGAAGTGAGCAGTGAGACGGGAACCTCATACCATAAGAAAGCAGTGGTGGGAGCAGAGCGCGTCCTTTGGACCGGGGTCCCTGCGCCAAGAAGCTCCTAGTCCGGGGGAACACTGAAGAGAAGAAGGCCAACAGAGAGAGAAAGGCTTCCCCTGGAGCTGACACCCTGAATTTGGACTTTTAGCCTACTTTACTGTGAGGAAATAAACTTCTCTTCGTTAAAACCATCCACTTGTGGTGTTTCTGTTATAGCAGCACTAGATGACTAAGACACTATCCTTACTCAGCCTTGGGTTTCCTATCACCAACTTTCCTGTCCCCTTCTGCCTTCTAGTCCTTGTCCCTGTACTGCTGTGCCTCATTAGTCCCGTTTTGTTTTATGGGGCTGTCCAATACCCAGCTGAATGGTGAACTCTAGTTTGTATCTCTTAATTAAAGAGAAGGACTCCCCAGAGTCTGTGCCGCCCGCTATTCTGTGATCTTGTCTACTGCAGGGCGGGCAGCCCAGAAGGGCCGTCAGGGTGAGGGGAGCTGGACCCAGTCGGGAGCGGGGTCCAATAATGCTCTCTCTCGAAGGATGAGCACTTCCCGGGTGGACAGTTTCCAGAGCAGCACTGGCAGCTGGCACAGGCAATGCCCGAGTGCCGTCCACGCCCTTCTTCACCAGACTGCACACCTGCTGTGGCCCCATGAGGCCAAGTGCTCTGGTGGCCCTCTGGGGAGGGTGCACAGTGTGACAGAGCTGCAGGGCAAGGATTTCTGGATACTCTTGAGTCACAGTGTCCACAACAGTCCAGAGTGGGCGTCCCCTTGGTACGAGTTCTCAGAAGTGCTGATGAGACTGCCCTGAAATGATCTCAGGAGGACACAGTGGACTGTTCTGCACACTGGGGTTGCAGTAGATGCCGTTCCCCTGAGGAAACAGCACAACCAGGAACAGTTGACAGTGCCCTCTAAGCACCTGCTGCACACCTGCCTGCCCAGCCCACCCCACATCCATAAGTATTTCAGTTTTGGAATTACGGGTAACTTTTACTTCTTTTGTGTTTTTCTATAATGCCTAAGTTTTCTAAAAAGGACTCCTTACTCATATGGTTAAAAAAAATTAAAAGTAATTTTAAAGGTAAGACTGTGAGTTATCGATGAGCATCTGATCGGAGTGGGTGTCTGCGAACGAGAAAGGTACCCACACTGACCCGTCTCTCTCTCCCCATGCAGCCCTAGGCCCACGCCAGTGTCCTGCTGACCCCTGCCTTGATCCTGAAGCACACGGCAGCCCACAGTGTCTGGCTCCATCTCAGTGTTCTCCGCAGGCAGGATGGACACCCCTGGGCAGGTCACCGACAGCCAGTGCGCTTCCCACACAGAAACCCCCAGGCAAGTGGTCCAGCTTCTAGGTCCTTAGCCCTCAAGGGAAGGCACCTCTGGGTCCTGGGGCTGCTACTGTCTGACAGGTCACCTGGCCCCTCCATCTCAACCCTGGGCCTTCCTGACTTCGCAGATAGGACTTTCTTTCCCAGTCTGGGACCTATATTGCTGGGTTGTACAGCACATGGAATTTCTTTTATTGGCCCCATGGTGCTTTGAACAGAGTTTGGAGAATCCATTGTGGTGTAACCAACTCCCAAACTTGGTGTAAAACAACCACCTCTAATCATCATTATTATCTCTTGTGGTTCTGGGAATTGACTGGGTTCAGCTGGGCGGTTTCTCTCAGGGTTTCTCCAGTGGCCAGACAGTGGCTGGACTCACTTCAAAGACTCCCTCACTCAGACTCACAAGTCTGGTAGTTGCTGCTGGCCGTCAGCTGGGACTTCACGGGGACTGTCAGCTGGAAGACTGGCATAGGGTCTCGCCACGGGGCCAGGGCTTTCTCACAGCATGCCAGATGGGTTCCCAGGGCAGGAGTCCCGAGAACGAGCACCAGGTGGGACTGTATCACCTCTGTGACCTGCCTCGGATGTCACAGTGCCTCCCTTCCGCTGACTCTGTGGTTGAGGCAACTCAGTGAAGCTGGTCCGTATTCAACGGGAGGGAACTAGAACCCCGTCTTGATGGGGGATGGTCAAAGGACATGTGGACAGTTCCACTCAAAAGATATCTGTTGAGTGCCAGTGGCCATGGGGCCCCCCAGTGAGCCAGACAAAGTTGTTCCCTGCCGTCTTGGAGCTTCTATCTGCAAGAAGTCTCAGAAAGGCACAGTACAGGAAGTTGCGGTATTTTTACTGGAGGACTCCCAATGATGCTCCTGGAGGAGGTGATGCAGGGCGGCAGGTGAGGCTCGGGTGGCAGGGGCGGGCTCGGGTCCTACAGGACTGGCCTACCTGTGTCACTCACTCACTGAGCCTAGCAGAGAGTCCAGCACCAGGTACAGCAGCATTCACCATCTGCTGACCGCTGGCTGGTTGAGGGTTGGGGCTCAATACACAGTGCCTGATGCCCTAGACGTTGGGGTTTATTTCATTTATGTATGCTCTTTATGGGCCCCAGAGGGCTCTTTCAGGAGGCATGGAGTCCGCTCCCTCACCCGCTCTGTGTGTACAGCCTGTGATAATGTGGGGTGTAGCCCTGGGCTACAGCTGGCCCCGGAGCAGACGCAACTCCCTGGGGCTCACGCAACTCAGTCCATGCAGCCCAGGGCTCCTTACGGGAAGGAAGTGAATGGCCAGGAGAGAACAGTGCAGACACCTGCCTGTGCATCCGGCATGGGGACATGGCTCCCAGCCCTGTCTGTGTCAGAATGTCAGGAGCCCAGGCTAGGGGCTCAGTGAGAGTACTGGGGACTGGGCCCAGTTTCTGTGTCAGTTCACTCGGGCCACAGGGCCAGGGGCTTGGCCTCACTGAGCCTCTGTGTCCTCATCTGAAACATGGAGCAGCATTACCTACCTCGGGTGCTTGTGAGTGAGCAAACATTTGGAAAGTACTGGCGCAGTTCCTGGGACATTGTGTGTGCAGGTATGTGCACGTGTGTGATTGCATGTGTGTCTGTGTGTGCATGTAGGTGTGTGTGAGTGTGCATGCAGGTGGGTATATGTGTGTGCATGTGTGCATGTGTGCATGTGTGTGTCAATGCATGTGTGAGTACGTCAGTGCACATGTATGTATGCATGTATGTGTGCACATGCATATTAACATGTGCGTGAGTGCGTGTGTACACGTGTGTAGGTGCACAAGTGTGAGGGTGTGCACACATGTGTGTGTCACGTCCTCCCAGGAGGGATGCTTCAGGTGAAGCCTTTGGCCAGAAGAAGGGGCTACTCTGTTGAGTTGCCCTCCCCTGGATGAAATATCCTCCACCTGGTCCTGTTTCTGCTGTCTTTTCTTTTTTTGTTAACTTTTTAATTTTAAAACCATAAATACTCTTTGTAAAAAGTCATCCAGCAGAACAGAAGGGGATGAAGTGAAAACTGAAAGTGCCCTCCCTCAAGTCCCTGCTCTGTGCTGCTCTGGGATAACCACCTCTGAGAAAGGTCTCTCATGTCCCTGCAGTGTTTCTCAAGCATACGGAAGCACACACTTATGTAGATGATGATTCCTTTTCTTCTTTACTCAAATGAAACCCAGCTGTTTGCAATGTGCTTTTTTCATGTTCACCCAGCAGCACCCATGTTCCTCCTCCCCCGCCTACCCTGCAGGTTCTCACATGGAGCCGGTTACTCTTGGAATTGGGCTGGTTGGCCAGAGACCAGGCTCTGCAGCTCTCAGACTCCACCGGCTGTCCCTGAGACCTCATGTGCTATTCCAGTCTCTGTGCTGTCGTGAATCTTGCTGAATCAATCGCTCCTCGTTTTCCTCTTCAAAGCAGGCTCTGTGAGTCAGCATGATGTGGGAGGTCCCGTGGTCACAGTGCGGTGTGGGAGGCCCTGTGGTCATGGCACAAAGTAGGAAATCCCATGGTCACGGTGTGGGAAGTCCTGTGATCATGGTGCAGGAGGTCCCATGGTCAGCATGGCATGGGAGGAAATTCCATGGTCACTCTATGGTAGATCCCATGGTCACAGCATGGCGTAGGAAGTTCTGTGGTCACGGTGCGGGAGGTCCCGTGGTCCTGGTGCGGGAGGTTTCATTGTCACAGTGTGGGAGGTCCCGTGGTTCTGGTGTAGGAGGTCCCGAGGTCATGGTGCGTGAGGTTCTGTAGGCATGGTGCCATGTGGGAGGTCACATCTTTGGTCCTCCCTGGGCCCTGGGAGTCCATTTAAGCTGAAGGGGCCATGGCCTAGAGAGCCGAGGAGCCATGGGTAGGTCATAGACTCCTGGGGCCAGGGCGGGGGTTTGACCCCAGGAAGTCAGGCTGCAGAGGCAGCCCTGCAGCTGCAGCATCCATGTCTGTACACTGTGCAACACCCTTTCTTGGGGGCTGTCTCTCCTGGCAGACATGTGCCACATCTCTGTTTAGCTCAGCATGGGGAGGGACAGACACTGACCAATGGCTGATGTCCCCACTGCCCACCTCATGGCAGCTGGTGAGCAGATCACTCTGGGATGACACCGAGAGGCCAGCAGGCACAGACCAGAGCCTAAACCTCCCTTTCTGAAGTGGGAACATGGTGAAATAACAAACCTCCACATAGTTCCTGTTACGGATTGAATTGTGTCCCCCAAAAATGCGTGTCAACTTGGCTAGTGCATGATTTCCAGTGTTGTGGGATTGTCCACAATTTTGTCATCTGATGTGATTTTCCTATATTGTAAATTCTGTCTCTGTGATGTTGATGAGATGGGATTAGCAGCAGTTATGTTAATGAGGCAGAACTCAGTCTACAAGATAGGATTGTATCTTGAGTCAATCTCTTCCGAGATATAAAAGAGAGAAGCAAGTAGAGAGAGAGGGGGACCTCATACCACCAAGAAAGCGGCACAGGGAACAGAGCATGTCCTTTGGATCTGGGGTCCCTGCCCTGAGAAGCTCCTAAACCAGGAGAAGATTGATGACAAGGACCTTCCAGAGCGGATAGAGAGAGAAAGCCTTCCCCTGGAGCTGATGCCCTGAATTTGGACTTTTAGCCTACTAGGCTGTGAGAGAATAAACTTCTGTTTGTTGAAGGTATCCACTTGTGGTATTTCTGTTATAGCAGCACTGGATAACTAAGACAGTGCCCCCAGAGAAATACAAAGGACCCAGGAGCATATTCAGAACATCTTGTCACATGGGAGGATTGTTGTAAGGCTGCACACGCATTGTAAGACTGCCCACGATTTGTAGTCCTGGTTTCATTACTCACCTGAGCATAGGAGAAAGGCTGAAGGGACAGCACCCCAATGTTAACAGTATTTCTCTCTCACAAATCAAAAGGATGAGAATGCCAAGGAAACGTAGGCTTATGGAAAAAGCACAGAACGGTGTGGCCTTTGCATGTCCTCACTGTGACCTGTCCGGGCCCCGGGCCCCTCAACTCTAGGGGGGATTGAAATAAGCCCAGGACTTTCCCTGCCTGGTGGCTGTGGTCCTTGTCAGTGGGATGAGAGTGAGTGCCTCGTAAGTGGACAGCAGGATAGGACAGGCACAGCCTGGTGCTGGCCTATGAAAGGCAAGCGGTTTGGGTGTGCTGAGTGAGTGAGTTCCGCTGGCTGCATCCCACAGTGTTGGTGGGGTGATCTCAGCTGCTCCACATTCAGCACCTTCCACTGCCTGGTTTACTCCCCCCTGTGGAGGACCTCTCTCATGCCGTTACAGCTGAGGCATAGGCGCCACTGAGTGGAGACAGAGTCTGACAGCCTCTGAGCTGCTACATCCATCCATGCCCAAGCCAGAGTCAGGAAGGGCAACCCTGGGTGGCTGGGGCTTCTCTGCCTCTCCTTTTCTGGCTCCTTGGCCAGAGCGATAGGATGAGATGTCCACCTGGCAGAGACGGGGTACACAGTCAGGGAGCCTGGGGAGTTAGACCTGGGATTTGGGGACCCGGCATTTGCAACAGTGAAGCTGAAGAGTGAGCACCGTTAGTCTTGCTCATCTGACCAGCACCATGCTCTTCACAGAAACCCTTCAGAGATGAGATGGTCTTGGTTTCAAGGACCTCCAGAGACTACAGCTTACCCTTATCCTCCAGACTAGGACACAGATGACCCTGATACTGCCTGAGTCTTCTCTGGCAAGGCCCTTCTTCACACCTGTCCTCACCTTTCTCCACATGGTCTTATCACCCCTTTTGTAATAAGGGACATGACCCTTAGGGGATGTAAGGAACTTGCCAAGTTGGCACATGGGCTGAGGTGAGATTTTTTAAAACAGCTTTATTGAGATGTAACTGACATACTACAAAACTGCCTATATTTAAAGTAAACAATTTGATCAGTTTTGACACGTATATATAACCATGAAATCATCACCACAATCAAGATAACGAACGTATCCATCACCCCAAGAGTTTCCTTGGACCCCTTTGCAATCCCTTACTCCCACCTCTCCCCACCTACCTCTCCAGGCAACCGCTGATCTGCTTTTGAGCCCTACATATTACTTCAAATTTCTTAGCGTTTTATATAAATGGAAAAATACGGTAGTGCCCTTTTTCTGTCTGACTACTTTCCCTTGACATAATTAGTTTTAGATACATCCATGTTGTTGGGAAGTATTCCCTCCTTTTCAATTTTCTTTATTATTATTATTTTTTATTGTGCTTTAAGTGAAAGTTTATAATTCAAGTTAGTCTCTCATACAAGAATTTATACATACGTTGTTATGTGACCCTAGGTGCTCTCCTTATACTGTGACAGCACACTCCTCCTTTCCACCCCGGATTTCCCATGTCCATTCAACCAACTCCTGACTCTCTCTGGCTTCTCATCTTGCCTCCGGACAGGAGCTGCCCATTTAGTCTCATGTATCTACTTGAGCTAAGAAGCACTCTCTTCACAAGTATCATTTTATGTTCCATAGTCCAGTCTAATCTTCGTCTGAAGAGTTGGCTTCGGGAATGGTTTCAGTTTTGGGCTAACAGAGAGTCTGGGGGCCGTGTCTTCTGGGGTCCCTCCAGTCTCAGTCAGACCATTAAGTCTGGTCTTTTTACTAGAATTTGAGTTCTGCACCCTACTTTTCTCCTGCTCCATCAGAGACTCTGTTTTGTTCCCTGTCAGGGCAGTCATTGGTGGCATCCGGGCACCATCTAGTTCTTCTTGTCTCAGGCTGATGAAGTTTCTGGTTTATGTGGCCCTTTTTGTCTCTTGGGATAATACTTCCCTTGTGTCTTTGGTGTTCTTCATTCTCCTTTGCTCCAGGTGGTTGGGACAAATGGATGCATCTTAGTTGGCCGCTTGCTAGCTTTTAAGACCCCAGACGCCGCTCACCAAAGTGGGATGCAGAACAATTTCTTAATAAATTTTGCTATGTGAATTGACCTAGATGTCCCCTGAAAGCATGCTTCCCAGACTCCTACCCCTGCTACTCTGTCCCTCGAAGTGTTTGGTTGTATTCAGGAAACTTCTTAGCTTTTGGTTTAGTCCAGTTGCGCTGACTTCCCCTGTATTGTGTGTTGTCCTTCCCTTCACCTAAGATAAATTGTGTCTACTATCTAGCTAGTGAATACCCCTCCCTCCCCACCCTCGTAACCATCAAAGAACGTTTTCTTCTGTGTTTAAACCTTTTCTTCAGTTCTTATAATAGTGGTCTTATACAATGTTTGTCCTTTTGCGACTGACTAAATTCACTCAACATGATGCCTTCCAGATTCCTCTACGTTATAAGATGTTTCATGGATTCATTGTTGTTCTTTATCGATATGTAGTATTCCATTGTATGAATATACCATAATTTTTTTATCCATTCGTCCGCTGATGGGCACCTAGGTTGTTTACAACTTTTTGCTATCGTGAATAGTGCTGCAGTGAACAAGGGTGTGCATATATCTATTCGTGTGACGGCTCTTATTTCTCTAGGATATATTCCAAGGAGCAGGACTGCTGGATCCCATGGTACTTCTATTTCTAGCTTTTTAAGGAAGTGCCAAATTGATTTCCAAAGTGGTTGTACCATTTTATATTCTTACCAGCAGTGTGTAAGTGTTCCAGTGTCTCCATAACCTCTCCAACAATTATTATTTTGTGTTTTTTGAGTTAATGCTAGACTTGTTGGGATGAGATGGTATCTCATTGTAGTTTTGGTTTGCATTTCTCTAATGGCTAATGATCGTGAGCATTTCCTCATGTGTCTGTTAGCCATCTGAATGTCTTCTTTGATGAAGTGCCTGTTCATATCCTTTGCCCATTTTTCGATTGGGTTATTTGACTTTTTGTTGTTGAAGTTCTGCAGTATCTTGTAGATTTTAGAGATTAGATGCTGATTGGATTTGTCATAGCCAAATTTTTTTTCCCAGTCTTTTTACTGTAGGTTGTCTTTTTATTCTTTTGATGAAGTCTTTTGATGAGCTTAAGTGTTTGATTTTTAGGAGTTCCCAGTTATCAAGTTTCTCTTCTGGTGTTTGTGCATTGTTAGTTATGTTTTGTATTCTGTTTATGCCATGTATTAGGGGTCTTAGAGTTGTCCCTATTTTTTCTTCCATGATCTTTATTTTTTTAGATTTTATATTTAGGTCTTTGATCCATTCTGAGTTTGTTTTTGTGCATGGTGTGAGGTTTGGGTCTTGTTGCATTTTTTTGCAGTTGGATATCCAGTTACGCCAGAATTGTTTGTTACAGAGACTGTCTTTTCCCCCAGTCAATGGACTTTGGGCCTTTGTCAAATATTGGCTGCTCATAGGTGGGTGAATTTATGCCTGGATTCTCAATTCTGTTCCACTGCTCTAAGTATCTGTTGTACCAGTACCAGGCTGTTTTGACCACTGTGGTGGTATAATAGGTTCTAAAATCAGGTAGCG